TGGTGAGCTGCGGTCACTGTTTGGAGATATCTTAAAGGCTGAGTCAATAGAATTTGTTGAAAGATTTGATTTGTGATGTGATGAGAGTTAAGGGTAGTTTAGTCAGGTTTTGGGTCTGAGTAGCTAGGAGGATAGAGTTGCCAATTACTGACTTGGGAGCAGGGAGATAGGAAGTTTACTTCTGGAAATGTTAAGTTGAAGTGCTTAGGGAATGTCCACCTGGAGAGGGCAATGGAGTTGACAAGAGAGGAACCCATGGATGAAGCCAGGGCTGGAGATCAACGATTGTGAAGGCACTCAAACTCATGGGATGGGATGCACTTACCATGCTGCGGAGGGTAGTTGCAGAAGAGAGGAGTCCAGGGACCAGGTCCTGTGGCTCTGCGGTGTATACAGGTCATGGAAGTCAAGGGACGTGAGGAAGGGAGAATGAGGAGGGGAGACCACGGAGGAAAGAGGAGAGCCGGAAGAGAAAGATGTCCTGGAAGCTAAGTAAGGAACATACTTCAGGAAGGAAGGAGAAATAAGCTGGGTCAGTATCTGCTGAAACAGCAAGTGAGGAGAGGGAGTCTTGACCATTGGTTTCAGCAACATGGTGTCCCTAGTGACCTCAAGAAAGAACAAGAATGGGAAGAGAGGAATTGGAGACATCTCTTGTAGTCAGTCTTTTGGAGCATTTTGCTCTAAAGGGTAGTGAAGTGCTGGCATATTAGCCAGAGCGGGGTGTGGCATCAAGGCGGTTTTTATTAAAGGTGAGAGAGAAGACGGCTGCTTATTTACTTGTTGATGGGAATGATCTAGTGATGTGGGGAGACTGATTAAGAAAGAAGAGAGGACAGGCGCAAAACCTGTTCTCGCAAAGGGGAGAGGGGTTAGGGGCTGGTGCACAAGGTGGGGAGGGTTGCTCCTTGGTAAGATCACAAACAACATCTCCGTCTTAGCTGGAGGAAGGTGGACCATGCATGCCTAGACGCCAGTCGGTTGTGGAAGGCTCACTGCTTCTGAGTCCTGTTCAGGTGACTTAGTGACCACAGTGTGGCTTTACGGTGGCTCTGGCCATTTGTGCTTGTAGAATTTATGGCCCACAAAGACCTTTATATACCAATTGCCGTGGCCCTTCAGCCATCTCTGCTGACAAGTGTATAGTTTCACATCTTAAAACTGCACGTGGGCAATATTTTAATGAGTAGCTAACTTACATTTAAGTGTTCAGTAGCTCATATTTATTGCATCCTCTGTGTAATCTCGTTTAAACCTCTCACTAGACCTATGAGCTGGAAGTGTTACTAGCCTCCAGTTAACAGTTGAGGACACTGAGCCTAAGAGAAACCAAAGAAATTTGTTCAGGGTCATGCACTGACTTAACTTGGTGCTTTCTGACAGTGTAGTTCCTTCCATATCCATAGGCTGTACTGCTTTGTGGAAGGATTTGGGCCTGTGAGGTGTGTAACTTCTGAATGAAGTAAGTTAACACTGGATATAATTTGATTTGCCTGTATGCTTGTAATCTGAGATGAAAATACTTTTGATAGCTTTGAGCTTTCCCCACCATCCCCCTCCCCTTTTTTTCCCCTCCTGAAGACCGAGAATTTAAGAGCCTTTTACAGAAATTTTTGAAACTTCACTGGAGGAAAAATTGGTTGGCTGGTTGCGGGTAGGCAGAACGTTGTCATTCTTGTGGTAGTTTTCCTTTGTAAGTCAGATCTTAAATTAGAAATCGACAGCAAGATGTTCCATCTATTCTGAAGTGAATAAGAGCATAGGAGTGTGGTCTTCAGTGTCAAAATGATCAAAATTGAATTTTTCTTTTGGCTTCTTGCTTGCAACGTGTCAGGCCTCCTAGGCCTGCTTTTTCATTTATAAACTAGGGGTAGTAACACCCACCTGCTGTGATTGCTGAGAGAATTAGAGATGGTATATTCTTTTTTTTTTAAAAAATTCATTTGTTTATTTGACAGAGAGAGAGAGAGAGAGAACACAAGCAGGGGGAGCAGCAGAGGGAGAGGGAGAAGCAGACTCCCCACTAAGCAGGGAGCCCAATGTGGGGCTGGATCCCAGCACCCTGGGATCATACCTGAGCTGACTCAGACACTTAACCAGTTGAGCCACCTAGGTGCCATAGAGATGGTATATTCTTTTTTTTTTTTTTTAAGATTTTATTTATTTATTTGACAGAGAGAGACACAGCGAGAGAGGGAACACAGCAGGGGGAGTGGGAGAGGGAGAAGCAGGCTTCCCGCGGAGCAGGGAACCCGATGCGGGGCTCGATCCCAGGACCTGGGATCATGACCTGAGCCGAAGGCAGACGCCTAACGACTGAGCCACCCGGGCGCCCCAGGCTGGTATATTCTTGAACACAAAGCACAGTGCCCAGTATTTATCCTGCCAATAAATGGCAGGTGACCTGATAGCTCCTTTGTCAGTTCTGCTAACTATTGTCTAGGGGGATGGTAGCCTGATGGGTTACTAAGTGCATCTTCTCCCTTGGTTACAATAATTCCCAACTGGAAAATTACTCATTTTGGGTTTAATTTCAGCAATGTGTCTTATGGGTACATTTTAGGAATGATTTATTATTTAGCATCAGAGAAGACAAAGCTCTATAGAAATATGCCTTCTTTATTTTGAATAAAAATGCAGAACATACTGTCTGACAGTGGAAAAATGGAACTGTCCCAGAGAATCTGGGATGCATGGTTTGCTATAAGCATGAGGCCCTGGGTGTCCTCCTGGGTGTGGAGGAGCCTCCTTGCATTCTTCCTAAATTTTCTAGTTCTCTAGTCACTTAATCCAGGCATCAGTATATTGTCTAGACTTTGGTTGTGTGAATTTCCTTCAGTGGAGATGGGAAATTTCCTTCACTTTGAAACAGTAAATGCATAGTTAGAGAAGGAGTTGTAAGTGGGATTACTGGTGCAGCCAGATGCCCTTGGACCTCAGGTAGTGTGTCTTTTTTTTTTTTCATTAGGGAGTATGTCTTGTAAGTTAGTGTATAACAGCATAGACAAAGCAAAGGTTCTCCGGTTACCTGCATTACTAACTTAATACATGTTAAACAGATCCTACTGACAAGAGACCTTGGTGTGTACAAAATCTTGTATTAGATGGTATTGGAAATACCAAGCTGAATGGGGGGGTTTCTTTTCCTTAAGGAATTTATACTTAATTGGGGCTAGGCTTTGTCAGTCCACATCCAAGAGCCTGATTCATCCCTTACTGTGGAAGCCTTTCCCTCCATCACTCTGCTCCTGCAACACTCAAGTTCATTCCCTAAAGTTTTGAGTTCTTTCTATAAGCCAGAAGTTACTAAAAGTATTCTCCAGGGATTTGGCTGTAAGAGAGACTACATCTTTGCATCTGTGCATACGCTGATGCCTAGTGTGGGTCCTTGACGATGGTCCAGAGAAACCACAAAGGGGGGATCATGCTGTTGCTGCGCGTCCCAGGGCTGGAGGCGGGCTTCACTTTATGATGTGACAGTCCTCACTCCTCTGTCTAATAAATATTTATAGCAATGTTATTTGATCTGTGCATTTAATAAAGAAGGGTGTTTTGTATAAATTCATTGGCCATTCTAAATGGCATAATGATAATAAACATGCACTCAAAGAATTTCCAAGTTGTAAAATGCCTTCATTTGTCTTCTGGTACTTTATACACTGTGTGAAGTATTTAAAAGGCAGGAAAAGAGTGAACATGTTCTATAAGGTTACTTTAAGATCATAGGTTATAGTTCAGTTATGAGTCTTACACTTTCATTTATTGGATGACATCCGTGTAATTGCTCTAGGTGAGAAGTATTCATGGGTCATAGAATTTTTTTCAGGGTACTTTTACATACTGCGGGACTAGTCTCAGGCTAGAATCATGAAGGTGGGGGACTTTTTAATTTCTGTTATCAGATTTTGCTTGTCTTCTTTTCTCATGCTTGTCCTCATGTTCTTTTCCAGGATCCACTGTCTTGCTTCCAAATCATTTTTAATAAGGGATAAATGGTTTATTCAATGAGTTATCTTTCCCCAGCGTGTTTGCATTTTAGCTGGCATAATATATTTGGCTAAACGAGGGGCATTAATTGTGAAATTGAGCTTAACCTGTAGCTGGCCACCGTGATGTAAGGTGGACTCCAAATAGACATTCATGTTAAAATGAGTATCTGTCCCATGTACGGAATTTGGTGCAAAATGACAATACCATTTGCGCTTAACTGACCAGCATCTGCATATTTAATTTCTAGATTATGATATCTACTTTTTTTTTTTTTTTACCCATTCTCCTCGTTTTCTGAAAATGTCCTGTGATTTATGGGGCACAACTCAATGGAACAGAATGAGTGTATGGGCTTTGGAGTATGACTTGGATTCCTATCTGAGCTTCACAGTTACTTGACCTTGAGCACATACTTCCTGAATCTCAGTTTCCTCACCCATGAAGTGTGATTGTTAGGTTTGTTATGATGGAAAAATTCCATATAAACTACAGCACCATAAACTACAGTGTATAAAATTACGGGCCAATGGTAAATGCAACATAAAGTAGCTATTATAATTAGTATAAATCCTAGGATTTTTACAGGGAAAAAATTACACAATCAAAAAAAATTTCTTCTACATAATAGCAACTTCATTAAAAATCTGTAGCAGGTGTCAGTTATGCCAATAATATATGAATTGGGAGCATGTCTTGATGATAAGCAAACCAGATATCATTTATGGAAATTTACTATATTTATATCCTCAAACGTATAAATGAGATACGAATATTCACATTGTAGTACATTTTTTAAAAAGAAAATGATTCATTGAACCCAGAGTTACCTAAGTATAGTTGAGAAATGATTTGAGTTCTCAAAATTTCATGCTTAATGAGATGATTCAGGAATATATTTATTGTGCAAGTTGAGGTACAGCCTTGTGAGGTGGGGCGCTTTATGCCTATGCTATGTTCTCCTGTGTTCTCTTGTCACACAGGGTTCTACAATTCTATTTTTCACCCCACAGATTTACCAATAAAGAGACAGAGTGAGTATGAACTGGTGACTCCAGTCAGCACAAATTTTGAAGGACACTATCTCTCCCATATTCTTTCTGCAAATAACAAAAGGAGGTCACCGAGGGACGTGTCTTCCAACTCTGAGCAATTGTTCTTTAACATCACAGCATTTGGAAGAGATTTTCATCTGCGACTAAGGCCCAACACTCAGCTAGTAGCTCCTGGGGCTGTTGTGGAATGGCACGAGACATCTCTGGTGCCTGAGAATATAACTGACCCCATTAATGATCATCAAGCAGGAAATGCTTCAGAAAGAATCTGGAAAACAGAGCCTTTGCAGACTAACTGTGCTTATGTTGGTGACATCATGGACATTCCAGGAACCTCTGTTGCCATTAGCAACTGTGATGGTCTGGTAAGACTTCTTCCCTTTTGTGGGTATGTGTTTGCAGGTGTGTGGGAGTGCAGCATGGCTCCAGCCTGGTTTGGAAGGTAGAGGTGGAAAGGAAGCCTTACTCTTATATTTTAAGTTCAGGAAGGAGCTCGAGAAAGCATTTTACAGTCAAAGATGTGTGCTTTGGCTTCATTTTGCCACGAAGACAGCATTATTCTGAGAAGCAAAAGATACCTATTTTAGCATTTTTTGCTTACATTTTCACTTGTGTTACATTGGGGAGTTTTATTTCCTTATTTCTTTCAAAGCATTCTGAAAATTTTCTGAAGAAATGTAGATTCCTCCAAAATGATAGTATTTCACTTCTTATGTGGAAACTTTGGATATCTTCTTAAAGAAAGTATTTTGAATGCATTCTTTCGCTTCCCCACAGAATGCTAAAATGGGAAATGAGCAGATCCTTTGTCAGAATTTGTTCAAATCACATTACTTTACAAACATGAGATGTAGTTATCTCTGCATCGTGACTTTGAGTCAGGTTTTTCTTTATTTTCAACTAAAATACCCATATATTGCTCTTCAGTTTTGTTGTTGAGGCCAATAGTAACTGACCTTTCTCTACACACTCTGCAGATGTGAAATATTTTTGTTTCATTACTCCAGATGTTATTTGGAAAGTGTGTCAATGTTTATACCTCCTCCATCCACAGTTGACTTTGTTCAAAAAAGCAACCATTTTTCTTTCGAGGGTTGCCAGGCTGCTGTTTCTTGGGAGTTCAGAGCTATTCCCTTTGTTTTGCCACTGTTCTGGGAGTTCTCAAAATATTCCTTATGTTCCTGCTTATAATTATTCTACCTTAGCTGGTCCTCCAACAATACCATGAAGTTTTTGCTATTGTTCTCTGTATGTGTAGGCCCAACCCAGAGGAGGTATGATACATGTTTTACCAAATGCTGGTGAGGTCATTGTTTTAGGCTTTATTTTTGCAGTCTTGTCCTGCCTCTTGATGCTCTGTAGGGTTTTAAGAGCCAGTGCAGAAAACTGAGCAGAGGACATGTAGCAGGTCCAAGTGTTCAAGTGGGACTGCATTAGATTAGGATCTGTGCATTTGCATTTGGTGCTAGACCGTATTCTGGGGTTTGAAGACATAAGGAATTGCTTGAATTCTCGTTCTCTACAAAGGTTGAATAGATGTGAATTAATTAAGTCATTGAATAGAAATAAAAAAGAAAGTACTTTCTAGAAGATGAAGTTCAAAGTATTCATTGAGAAAGTGTGATTCAGTAACTACTAAGATAGAAAAGAACACAAATCGTACAAAAGGTACTATTTTGTAATACTTTTAAGTAAAATACATTGAATATAAAACTTAATTCAGTGTTATTTTTTTCGTTTTATAGCGTAAAAAATTACGTACGTTTACCTTCTCAGTTAAGATTTGAAATGTGGGATATTGGCTTGAAAATCAGTTTAAGGAAGGTAAAAGGCAAGGAACTTACTTTAATGCATCATCACAGTGATTTTTATATCTGACTTAGCAACCAGTATTTTTCTTACCATATATGTCAGATTATTGAATCATAGATATGAGAAATCTGGGGCCATAACAAGTTGTTATAAAGTAGAGGAAAATAGATATAAAGTCTGAATGAATGTTAATTATTAGGATTCTTTGATTTCTCATTTTTAAGATACGGTGTTAGCATCATGTGTAAATTGATATTGAGTGTGTGTGTGTACTATACTACCACTGCACACTGAAAGTATTCATTTGTTCCATCTTTGATCCATTAATTAATTAATTAAACAATATTTATAGGAGCTGGTAATGAACCAAGTGCTATTCTAGGCACTGTGAAATGGTGGAAGGAATAGTGGTTACCATCCTCATGCAGCTCAAAGATGTTAAATTTGTCATGAAATTTAAATGTCAAAATATCCGGCATATGTATATATACATATATATGTTAGAATCACGTTTAACTTGAAAAATTGTAGTTAAGGGAAATATGTTCTGGAGATATGAATAGGACAGAGTTTTGAACCAGAGATAATTGGCCTAGGCCTTCAGCTCGATCCAGGAAAAGGGTGGGTCTGGCCTCTAGAGAAGGCAGTGCTGACTCTGTGGGTAGGCGGAATGAAGCCTTTTCTAGAGCTTCCAGTTCACAGTAGCCATGTGCCAGGAGGAAAAGTGAAGATGATGGCAGGAAGAACAGCAAGCAGGATTATGGGGAACGAATCAACAAACCAGAGGGCTAACAGCAGGACTACTTCATTAAGTTGGAAACAAGTTCTTAAAATTGTAGAATTGCATTGGATGGGATAAGCCCTTAGCAGAGATGAGGTAGGAAGTTTAATTGAAGGGAATGTAAATAAACTTGGCTGATTTGCTGATTCCTAAACCCCTTTTTCCCTTTAACTGGCTATATAGGGATTTAAGCTTAACCTTCTTGGCCTCAGAAAGGGAAGCAGGGATACTGAGATAAATAGATGCCTGAGGATTAACCTGATGGGCTATCAAGCCATTGCCCTGGGAGACTCTGGGACTATAATCAGATCCAAGTAGGTCTAGTAGAAAGTACAGCCCCATTTGGCCTAAAGATAACAATGGAAAAATACCTGCCCAGCAAGTATATAGTTAAGTCTGCTGATATGGAAGACAGTGTCATTGAAGCTTTGCCTGGATGGGAAGTTGAATCCTTTTGGTTACATCGGTTTTCGATGGTATTCCCGTGATCTGACTTTCTCCATGTGTCCTTCGAAGCTGTTGCACATAAGAAACAGCCACAGGAACATAGATTTCACTGCGGTTGGAGGTTTCATAGTAAGGCTTTCTCCCTTGGTGAAACTCCTTACATCTCTTTTCTCTAATGCAAGCTTGTGGCATGCTATGTGAATTTGAAATGGGCAGCACTCTCAGACAGAATTAATTTGTTGTAAGCAGAATGCTTTAATTAAATTTAAAAACAAGGGCGCCTGGGTGGCTCAGTTGGTTAAGCAACTGCCTTCGGCTCAGGTCATGATCCTGGAGTCCCGGGATCGAGTCCCGCATTGGGCTCCCTGCTTGGCAGGGAATCTGCTTCTCCCTCTGACCCTCCCCCATCTCATGTGCTCTCTCTCTCTCATTCTCTCTCTCTCAAATAAATAAATAAAAATCTTAAAAAAAAATAAAATAAATTTAAAAACAAGTGGTACTCAAAGTGTGTCCACAGACTCAGGCTTGTGAAAAGATAAATACCGAAAGTGAGATTATATATAGAAACTCTTATACCAATTTGACAATTGTTGTATTTGTACTGGGTCAAATAATTTTAAAAAATGGGGCTGGTGTTTTATTTTATCATTTTTTAAAATAATTTATTTATTTTATTAGAGAGAGAGAGAGAGAGTGTGTATGAGAGAATGCGCAAGCAGGGGGAGTGGCAGAGGGAGAGGGAGAAGCAGGCTGGCCGCTGAGCAGGGACCCCGATTCGGGACTCGATTTCAGGACCCTGAAATCATGGCCTGAATTGAAACCAAGAGTCGGACAAGAGGCGGCTTAACCAACTGTGCCACCCAGGCACCCTTCTCTAATAATTAATTTCTGTTGTGTTTTACAAAATAGTCCAAGACCAATTGGGAGAAAAGAAAACATTGTCTGCACCACAGATAGTTTGCCTGGGTGGCTCAGTCGTTAAGTGTCTGCCTTCAGCTCAGGTCATGATCCCCGGGTCCTAGGATCAAGCCCTGCGTCAGGCTCCCTGCTCGGCGGGAAGCCTGCTTCTCCCTCTCTTACTCCCCCTGCTTGTGTTCCCTCTCTCGCTGTGTCTCTCTCTGTCAAATAAATAAATAAAATCTTAAAAAAAAAAAAAGAAAGAAAAGCAAGCAGCGACACTTAAGCTGTTTTTACCCCTCTGGATATCAGCTACTTGACTGAAATAGTAAGATAAAGTTTACCTATCCCAGGTAACTGTATGAAATGGTCAAAGGAAAGGTGCTTTAATAAAGACTTGATTGAAGAGGACAGAAAGATGCCTCAAGTGACATATCCAAAGCCAATGTCTAGAATGTGATCTAGACATTGATATGCATCATAACTAAAATATTATTCTCTGGGTTTCTGAAATCAACATCAGAGTCTTCTGCACAAAGGAATTGACAGTGATTCTTACCCAGTGTGGCCAAGAATAATTAATCTGTTCCTGTCCAGTGTGACCTTTTCCTTTTCTTTGCAAGATGATCATTTATGAGTGACTGTTAATTCTTTACCACTTACAGCTTTATTCTTGCTCTAGTCTGTCCTTACCTGTAGGTAAGAACTCCTGAGATGTTCAGTCATTGAATCGTCCCTGCTTTCTTTCTTTTTTTTTTTTAAAGATTTTCATTTATTTATTTGACAGAGAGAGAGAGAGAGAGAACAAGTAGACAGAGAGGCAGGCAGAGGGAGAGGGAGAAGTAGGCTCCCTGCGAGCCTGATGCGGGTCTCGATCCCAGGACCCTGGGATCATGACCTGAGCTGAATGCAGCCGCTTAACCGACTGAGCCACCCAGGCGCCCCTCGTCCCTGCTTTCTGTTGCATCTAATCTAGAACAAAGCCCAGCTTCTCTAGACCTCCCCCCGCCCATTCCAATTACCCAACTGAAACCCAAGTCCTGTTAATAGGTTCTTTCTCACGCTCTTTTACTGAAATGCTCATGCTTCCCTCTGGTGTGCATTCTCCCTCCGTGCAACATGGAATAAACCCAGCTTGTCCACTGCAGATGTGCTGCTGGTGGTCTTTGGCTGGAGGGTGTCGACATGCTTTTCCTCTCTGCTTCGACATTTCTGAAATTTCACACACTTCTTAGTGGGAAGACACTTCTGGCTGAGAATCCCAGCTGAAAATAGATTTCTTTATTCCACAGAGTCCTGGCATTTACTCTGGAACACCATTAAATCTCCCCTACGAGCAGTGGCAGCTCACAATCATATTTTGTGGTCTATAAATGTGCCAAAATAAAGGGTTGTTTGGTTAGTAGGCTTTATTTCATGTATTTCATA